TGTCATGACCCACCAGTACCCTCTTCTGTAAGGAGACTGATTGCTAGACTATGAGCTCTATGAAAGTGGGGATTGGGATGCTTTTTTGTGCACTGTCGTGTCTGTGGTGCACACCAGAGCCTGGAGGAGCAAGTCTCCATGTTCCAAGGTTCTGTCATTCCCTCAGTGAAACCAGCTTATATTGATGGTTCTCTCCTCAGAACTCCCCCACAGCAATTCAGTCCTCAGATAGCTATAGATTTGTGTATTTGACTTGCTGCGTTGTATTTGTTAGTCCTGTCCTTCAATGATGTTCAGCAAACGGTGAAATGATCCAGGTCTTGGATTAGAGATGCCACCAGGGAGTCAATTCCTTAGACATAGGACTTCTGTTATATCTGATACTTTCTCCCTGCACAGGATTCAGTGCAGCAAAGTGCCTGTCTTGCCTCAGACCTGAGGGAAACGTACTGTTCTCATGTGCTGCCTTTGACATGTGACACAGTAGGGTGCTTTGCGGGAACCTCTCCCTTTGAGGACCTGCCAGACACATTTTCTGGCACTTACAACTGGAATTCCTTCCTCATTCCTAGTACCTTTGAGCTGATGACAAAGCTGTGCAGGGTGTTAGTGTTACTGCTAATTTGTCACAATAAACATAAAGCAACGCTCAGAATACCTTTCTCAATATTAAAACAGCATTTACATGTCAATTGGTGCCACTCTCACGTAATGTGCCATGCTTGCTTAAAAGATTCCCCTTCTTTTTTTTTTGTTTTGAAAATTGCGAGAGCCAGCGGTAAAAGCTGGGATAGGTTTGCTGAATTTCTTTCCCCCTTTCTTCTCTCAAGAAAAGGTGAAGGGCAGTGCCTTTCTGGAGCAGTGTGAGGCAGTGGCACTAGCCCTTGCATGTCTCCTGTTTGGCATTTCTGCTCATTTCTCAGGTCGGTTTTCTGATTCCAGGCCACCCTTTACAGATCTGATGGAGCTGGGAATCACTGAGATCCACCCGGGATACCTCCCTACAGCTTCCAAGTCAGGGTCAATAACCTGCTCTTCCTTATAGAACAGTTCTCTTTTGACTTCACCTTGTAAAAATTCTGATTTATTTATTAATTTCATTTTTATCCTCTCCTTTGCTTTAAAGGTTATCTTTTTTAAGTTAAAAATATCTGCAAGGAGACCTTGTGATCCTCTTCTCACTGACCCAGATATTTTAAGAGCAGGTATTTTAAGAGACTGACAGCTGCTTCTCATCTGGGGATTCAGGCCAGCTCTCAGAGCTGATGAGCTAAATGTGATAATAAAATATTAATCCTATTTCCCATACATGAAAGACTCTTCCTATTTTTCTTTACCTATCCAAGCCCTACTCATCCTTCAGTGCGTTGTAGAAAAAGCTTTGGTGTTGCGGATAAAAGACTTGTGTTCAAATTGCCTGAACCCAGGAGGCAGAGGTTGCGGTGAGCCAAGATCACGCCATTGCACTCCAGCCTGGGTAACAAGAGCGAAACTCCATCTCAAAAAAAAAAAAAAAAAAAAAGACTTGTGTTCAGTTCTCAACTTGGAAATTTATACTGTCTGACCTTGGGCAAGCCACTTCATGTCTGTGAATCTTGGTTTCTTCACCTGTAAATCAGGAATGCTGAGACTTTCACAGAGTGAATGTAAAGGGTTTAGGGTTCAGCCAGCCTGGTAACTAGAATATACAGAACGGAAATACCAAACTCCAGAAGGCCCAGTATGAGTAATCCTCAAACACTGATTTCTCCTATTTTTATATTTCTGTTATTGAGTCTATCTACATCATACAATTTAACAATTAACTATACCTTGTCTTTCATATGTGGCTCTCATTTTCTTCACATCCCCAGCTGGTGGCTAAGCACAGGAGGGTGCTGTGGATTTAATTTTCTTGTGCTAACATTCCAATATTAGGCACTTAATTCTTGATAATTGATGGATGGAGTACACTACCCATTTAACGAAATTTGGGTTCTGCCACACAACACAGGTTATTTGTGTTGTCTTGACCAGTCCAGTTTCACTGCCTGTTGCTAATGATGAGATAGCAGGACATACTTGAGGCTTTCATTCTCTTGTTTAATTGTGGCTTCTCATCAAATATATGTGTATTCAAAGACACTGCTGATCTGCTATGAACAGAGAGAGTTTGTTTGGCTTGTTGGCACACTGTGACGATGGGTTTTCCCGCTGGAGCTTTGTTTTTTCTCTCAAGCAGGTTGGAGGAGGCCCATGGAGCTGTGTGTGTGCCGACCAAGACTGTCTTTCTCCTGCCCTGACACAGAGGGCCAGAAAGGAGGCCTATGGCTGACCCTCTTCTGGCTGTGGCATATTCTCAGTGGAATTCACAGTGGCTCAAAGAGCTGGTGTTATTTGGTGGGAACCCCCATTCCCAGCGGTCATATCGCTTTTACCAATTGCCTGCTGTGGGTTGAATTGTGTCCCCCAAAAGATGTGCTGAAGTCCTAGGCCGTGGTGTGAATGTGATCGCATATGTGAATGTGACCTTATTTGGAAATAGGGTATTTGCAAGTGTAATCAAGTGAATATTAGGCCATGCTGGATTGGGTCAGCCCTAAATCTAGTGTTTGCCATCCTTGGAAGGAGAGAGAGGGATTCGGCCACACACACAGAGAAGATGGTCGTGTGAAAATGGAGGCAGAGATTGGGCTGATGCAGCTACAAGCCAGGGAATGTCAAGGCTGTCTGGGAGCCCCCTGAAGCTGGAAGAGGCAGGAAGGATTCTCCTCTGGAGGCTGCAGAGAGAGCATGGCCCTGCCCACACCTCGATTCCAGATTTCTAGGCTGCATTGTTCCTCATGGCCACACGCAGGCTATTGCTTCTCCCTAACCCTCCCCACAGCTTGGAAGCACAGGCCATGGGAATCTGTGTAAGCCTCTGCCTCCTGTGCTGTGGGCTCCTCCCAGCCTGCCGTCATTCTTGTCACTCTTCCCACCGAGTGAAGCTTTGAGCCCCTGCCGGCTTTGCTTGGTCTCCTCACCTCTTCTCTTGGTGATTGCATTCTCTTGGAGAATAAATTTCTGTTGTTTTAAGCCACAGAGTTTGTGGTAATTTGTTATGGCAGCCACAGGAAACTAATATGCTGCCCAAGAGTCGAGATATAAAAGAGAAGCTCTAATTAGAATCGACTACCACCTTCCCCTGTAAGGTGTTGATTCTAATCCCACCGTGCCTTACCTGGTGATTATCTGAGTACGGGGCTCCCAGGCCCTTCCCCTACACAGCTCTTACGGTTCCTTGTTTGACTTCATCTTCCAGGCTCCTGACCTGGAATATCCTCAACTTCACTGTTGTGCTCCAAATGATGCCTGACTCACTCCTGGGGACAGGGGGACTCCCGTCAAGTGTACCAGGGCCTGAAAGTGGGGTAGGTTTCTGCATTGCTCCTCATGGCGACTCCCAGGCTGTTGCTTCTCCCTAACCCGCCCCCCAGCTTGGAATCACAGGCCATGGGAATCTGCTTAAGTCTGTGCGGGCCGGGCGCGGTGGCTCAAGCCTGTAATCCCAGCACTTTGGGAGGCTGAGGCGGGTGGATCACGAGGTCAAGAGATCTAGACCATCCTGGTCAACTTGGTGAAACCCGGTCTCTACTAAAAATACAAAAAATTAGCTGGGCATGGTGGCGCGTGCCTGTAATCCTAGCTACTTGGGAGGCTGAGGCAGGAGAATTGCCTGAACCCAGGAGGCAGAGGTTGTGGTGAGCCGAGATCGCACCATTGCACTCCAGCCTGGGTAACAAGAGCGAAACTCTGTCTCAGGAAAAAAAAAAAAGTCTTCTGTGCTGTGGTTGGAAGCTTTGAGTCCCTGCGGCTCTCCTTTGCTCTCCTCACCTCTTCTCTTGGTGATTGATTGTCCACGTATGTCAGTCAAGCCCACCCCTGGCTGTATAATTATTTGGGAAGATTTTTTAAATGCCTGGCATTACACTTCTCTCCTCCCCTTTCCCCATTTCTACCCAATTAAGCCCAAATCTTAATTTAAGGGGGTGGGGGGGTTGGAGGCATATGTATTTTTATTTTATTTTATTTTATTATTTTTTTTGAGACAGGGTCTCACTCTGTCACCCAGGCTGGAGTGCAGGCACCATCTTGGCTCACTGCAACCTCCGCCTCCTGGGTTCAAGCGATTCCCCACCTCAGCCTCCCAAGTAGCTGGAACTGCAAGCGCACACCACCATGCCCAGCTAACTTTTGTATTTTCTGGTAGAGATGGGGTTTCACTGTTGGCCAGGCTGTTCTCAAAATCCTGACCTCAAGTGATCCACCTGCCTCAGCCACCCAAAGTGCTGGGATTACAGGTGTGAGACCCCACACTTGGCTGGCATTCATATTTTTTAAGAGCTCCCTGGTCATTCTAGTATGTGGCCAGGTTTCAGAAGCTTCCTCCTGCCTCAGCCACTCACTCTGTCATGCTGTGGTGATTGGCATTCCTAGTACTTGCTCCAACCTCAAAAATACTGATTTCTGGCATCCCATTCTGACTACCACCTCCCCACTCCAGCTCTAGAACCCCGACTCCAACCATTGTCTGACCTTGCCAGGTTCACTCATCCATGTACCTTTTCATTGTCCATCATGACCCTCAGGCTCCCCTTCCATCCTTCCTTTCCCAGCCTAGGTCCATGGTCCCTGTTCAACTCCCTGGCTCTCGTGTTTCTCTGATGCTTTCCCCTGGCAAACCCCAGACCTGGTAAAACTCTACTCACCAATTCAGGTCTGTATCCAGGCACCAAATCTCAGAGTGTGGCTGGATAAAAATACATAGCTGGCTTACTGCTCTTAATTTTATGCACAGAGCTCAAGTGGATTCTCAGTGGTGCCTAGTGGTGCTGCCTCATTTCCCTAGTTAATTCACTTTCCTATTCTTTGAGAGGCTATTTTACACCTTCTGTCTCCAAACCAACTCCCTCTAGCATCTCTGCCTCCTCACTCTTCCAATAGGCCCAGCTCGTCTGCCTCCAGACGTTTGCACTTACAGTCACTGTGTCTTCCACACTTCCCTCTGCCATTCTTGCCGTGAAAAACTCTTCACTGGATTCATTTCCACTTCTCAAAGCAGTGTTCCCTGACTCCTCTGCCTAAAATAGCCTCCCGCCCGGCCCTGACACTCTCTATCCTCTGACTCTTCCCTATGCACTTACCCCCGCTGGCATTACATGATGGGTTTATTTTTGTTCACTTGTCTGTCTCCCTCCCTAGATCCTAGGCTTATGTAGGCAGCACACTTCTGGTCCATCTGGTTCACCTCTACATCTACTACACCAGGAATAGTGCCTGGCATACAGCTGGCTTTCAGCGAATGAACCAGCGAATGGATGAGCCGAGCAATGGGTCTATGTTAAGTATTTTTGAACTGCTAACTGGTAATTATTCACTCTTCACAACAACCTTTAAGATAGTTACTATTAACCCCATATCACAGATAAGGAAGCTGAGGCCCAGAGAGATTCAGTGATTTACCTGACATCATGGAACTAGAGAGTGGCAGAGCCAGGACCCAGCCTGACAATGTGGCTTCAGAGTCCACGCACATAACCACTGTGACACACTGCCTTTGCTCTAAAAAGGGGCTTTTTCACGTTTCACAGTCATTCCTGGAAAGTTCAAGATGTTTCAAAATACTCGACTCAGTCTTACGGTGGGTAAACATGAGATTTCTCATCTATTGTAAATAAGTAATTTAGTTTAAGTAGTGGAGCTTAACATTATTTCAAGAAGAAACATTTATACTTATTTTCTGCCATGGGTTTGGTTTAGTGAATGAAGTCTGAGCTAATACTTCCAATCTGCTGGTGGTGACATTGGAAAGGATATGCCTATGAAATCCAAAAGGTGTGTATTCAGGAGCACATCAGTTACTGCATTTTTCACTTTTTTTTTTTTTATAGAAATGGGGGTCTCGTTATGTCCCTCAGGCTGGTCTCAAACTTCTGGCCTCAAACGATCCTCCTGCCTTGGCCTCCGAAAATGTTGAGGTTACAGGTGTGAGTCACCATGCCCGACCTTTCTTTCTTTTTTCTTTTTTTCCTTTTTTTTTCGAGATGAAATCTCGCTTTGTCACCCAGGATAGAGTGCAATGGCATGATCTTGGCTCACTGCAACCTCTGCCTCCCAGGTTCAAGTGATTCGCCTGCCTCAGCCTCCTGCTTTCATTTTTATTCTATTGTTTAGTTACATGCAGACAAATCTAGTAACTTCCCTAGTTTATCCAAGCTGTCTGAACCAAAGAAAACGCAGGTTTATGAGTATGTGGATGTATGCTTTATGCACATCTTCCAAGTGTATCTCTTTTTAAGTAGGGGATATGTGTGGGAAATGAGACTGCAATATTGTCTTAGAATTGGGGGTCCCAAGTTCCATGTAAACTAAAGGTCAATATTATCAATAAAAGCATGTGTAGTACAAGTGTTCTTAAATATGTGCAACATTCACAGATAACAAATCTTTTAATGTTCCTTCTTTCTTTTTTCACTCATCTTTTTTTCTTCACCACCCCAAGTTAATTTGAATTCATCGCCCACTCCTGACCTCTCATAGCACTTAGTGTTGATATCACACACTTGGCATTTGTGTACATTCCGCTCTTTATGGATATCTACCTGTATCCTTAATTTCATCTAGTTGAGTAATTATTAACAACCTAAAGTAGAATAATTGCAAGACAAGATGGCAAATGCAGGCCATATTTAATTATTCTTTGCATAAATCTCAGGAAGTGCTCTTTGCATACAAAGCAAGAATATGGTAATTATGAGTGTCTTCTCTAATTATGACAAGCCACTTTTCATAAGATCTGCTTTTAATATTTGCAGCACAATGTTGTGGGATCTTTGAGAGCCAAAAGCCCTGAGTTCTACTGTATGACCTTGGCAAGTTATTTACCTTTCTGAATCTCTAATTTATTTTATTTTTTTGAGACAGGGTTTCACTTTGTTGTCCAGGCTGGAGTGCACTGGTGTGATCACAGCTCACTGCAGCCTCAACCTCTTGGGTTCAAGTGATCCTCCCACCTCAGCCTTCCAAGTTGGCACACACCACCATGGCTGGCTAATTTTTATATTTTTTGTAGAGACAGGTTTTGCCATGTTGCCCAGGCTGGTCTCCAACTCCTGAGCTTAAGTGATCTGCCTGCCTCAGCCTCCCAAAGGGCTAGGATTATAGGCAAAAGCCAAGTGCCTGACCTGAATTAATTTTTATCTAAAATGATGGGTTGAATTCGAGGTAAATGCTGTTGTTTGATTGTTTGCCCCCCAAATCCATGTGTTGAAATCCTAACCCCCAAGGTGATGGTATCAGGAGGTGGGGACTTTGGGAGGTGATTAGGTCGTGAGGGGAGAGCCCTTATGAACGGGATTAATTCCCTTACAAAAGAGGTGTAAGGGATCTCAGTCATCCTTTCTACCACTCAAGGTTACAGTGAGTTGTCTGCATATGAGGAATGGGTCTTCATGAAACACTGAATCTGCCATCCTCTTGAGCTTGGACTTTTGAGATTCCAGAACTGAGAGGACTAGACACCTGTTGTTTATAAGCCACACAGTCTGTGGTATTTTGTTATAGCAGCCCATACAAACTGAGACAAGATCCTTTAAGCTTACAAAAAATTTTTAGGACTCTACTTTGAATTATTTTTGTAGTTGAAGTAAAAGAACATTTCTTTTTAAAAAATTATTTTGAAAACAGTTCCACAATTCAGAAATTTTACCAAAATCAGGCGCTTTCCCTATTTAACATTGAGAACTTCCTCCATTCCAGGATAATAAATACCTAATATATATGTGTCTTCTGCTTCATACTTGTATATACTTCATACACAGCCATTAAGGCAATTGAACAACTTGAATTTTCTATAATTTTCCCAATTAAAAAAACTTCCATCGTCTATATAATTAAGATAATTTTAGCATCCAGGTGCATTCATATGTCTCACATAATTTTGTTTTGTTTTGTTTTGTTTTGAGACAAGGTCTCACTCTGTCACCCAGGCTGGAGTGTAGTGGTGTGATCTTGTCTCACTGAAGCCTTGATCTCCCGCCTCTCAACCTCAGCCACCCAGGTAGCTGGAAGCACAGGTGTGTTTAGGAGTTCAATGTAATAGTTAGGTTCTCTTTGGAATTCTCATTTACAAACACAAAGGGGCGTGTGTGGTTTCTGTAATTTCATAGTGGCCTCTTTTATTCAGACCTTCTCAATATGGTGGTCAGATCATGTTTCTAGCCTCAGGAGCTGCATATTAAGCCATTCCGATGGGAAACTGCTACTGAAGCAGAAAGGTTCTGGGCAGCTGACGTGGCAACACAGTTTACAGTATCTGCCAGCTGTGAGTAACAGCAGGCTGTGATGTTGGGATATAGCAACAGCAGCAGCAGCAGCAGCAGCAGCTCCTGATTTAGGGGCAATTGATGTAAGTACTTATTTTCACCATTAACCAATTAACACAAACCAAATGCAAATTGAAGAATGCTAAGAGGGAATACAGTTCTCATTGGAGACCCTGCTAGCAGACTCATTTGAGAAACATTTGGCCTCAACCAGAATAGAAAGGCATTAAGCCAGCACATGGTTTTCAGCAAAATGAAGAACTTCACAGGGTTTTGCTTGAAAAAACTAACTTCAATCGTGGCAATGCCACTTTCCAACCCTAACTCCTTGGAGTTCCTTCATACTCTGGCAAAAGCTGTTCCCTGGGGGATGGAATGTATTGTTAATGTTCGAAACAGCACGTGATTTCAACTTACCAGAAAACTTCAGGCAGGTTTGATTATGGGAAGACGAAAGGAGGCTTAGCAGTTACAGTGTTTGAGCAGAGGAGAGAGGCTGTTAAATATTTTAAGGAGGATTCAAATTGGTTAAAACTGACTTAGGGGCGTTGTGGAAACTTTTGTTCTCAGGCTATATAGATGACTAGGGGTGTGGTGCCTGCCAACCCCATGACAAATGAAACTCCGGCTTGGATCTCTTTACAAGAGGTGGCTCTATGGCTTCTGTTGCCAAGGCTTCCACACTGGAAGTCATATTTAGAGTTTCTAGTATTTTCAAAGTTCATAAACCATGTATTTATGGATTGGTGATTTTTTTTTTCCTTTCTGTCGAGACCTTTAACTCTAATGTTTGGCTCTGCACAAAATCTCATAAGTGACCAACAGCGGCTTAACCTGAGTGTGGTTAACTTATTAACAAACATATTTTTGATTGTCACCTCTCTGTGCAGAGGATACCTAAGTGAACAAGATGGATAAGGAGGTCACTGCCCTTGCGGAGTCTGCTGCCCAGCCGGAACAGCAGATGTTATGAGAGGAGAAATGAACACTGGGCTGGGAGTCGGGGGACCTGGATTCGGGTCCTGGCATTGATCCCAGTGAACCATGTGGCACTCTGGGCTTCAGTTTATGTGCTATAAAATGAATGTGTTGGGATGGATAACCTCTTCAGTAATTGATTGCTCACCTAGTGTGAATTTTCCCCTTGCTGAACAGCTTCTCACACAGCATTGCCTTAGCTCCACATCCAATTTGAGGACAGGCGCTTTATTTCTGAAATAGATCTCACGTGTCACCAGCCAGGCCTCATCAGATTGAGATATTCTATAACAGAAACTTAAAGGATTCTTGTAGATGGGCCCATTTACAGTACAACGTTGATAGGAAGAATAGATGCTTTTGAGAAAGATATCTTAAAGGGAGCAATTCCACACAGACTCACCTTAAATATCTGTTTCTGTTTTCATATGGTTACTGAGTTATTGATGGGAACAAGTGCCTTTTCAGCTGCTGCTGACTTTTGAGAGGCAAAGACACAAAAGCTTAACTCTTAAGAAAATGAAATTGCTTGAAATAAGTGTGACCCGCCGGGCATGGTGGCTCATGCCTATAATCCCAGCACTTTGGGAGGCTGAAGCGGGTGGATCACGAGGTCAAGAGATCGAGATCATCCTGGTCAACAAGGTGAAACACCGTCTCTACTAAAAATATAAAAATTAGCTGGGTGTGGTGGCGCGCGCCTGTAGTCCCAGCTACTCTGGAGGCTGAGGCAGGAGAATTGCTTGAACCCAGGAGGTGGAGGTTGCAGTGACCCAAGATCGTGCCATTGCACTCCAGCCTGGGTAACAAGAGTGAAACTCTGCCTCAAAAAAAAAAAAAAAAAAAAAAAAAACTAAAGAAAAGAAAAGAAATAAGTGTGACCCATAGGCTTAAGGTTTAAAAGAAATTTAACTGAGTAAAAAAGAAATAAAACAGAAAAAATCAGCCAGGCTGTGGTTTCAAGTAGAATAGAAAATACCCACCATTGGAAGCGGTGCAGTGCAGCCTCAGCTTCTAGAACTCGCCATCATCCGTTTAGTCCTTTTTGACTTTGGAAATTATGGGAGATTTGTAACATGTTAGCAGAATGATGGATCAAATCCATTTTTATTTTTTATTTATTATTATTTTTTTTCGAGACGGAATTTCACTCTTGTTACCCAGGCTGGAGTGCAATGGTGCCATCTTGGCTCACCGCAACCTCTGCCTCCTGGGTTCAGGCAATTCTCCTGCCTCAGCCTCCTGAGTAGCTGGGATTACAGGCACGCGCCACCATGCCCAGCTAATTTTTTGTATTTTTAGTAGAGACGGGGTTTCACCATGTTGACCAGGATGGTCTCAATCTCTTGACCTCGTGATCCACCCACCTTGGCCTCCCAAAGTGCTGGGATTACAGGCGTGAGCCACCGCATCTGGCCCCAAATCCATTTTTAAAAAGCACAATTTGTATGTAGACTTACTGTCCATCAGCCCTGCTAGCCTAGCTCACAAAATTATCTACATGGGCAGTCATACTCTTGCTGCCTCCCTCCTTTCCCCAAGACAGAGGTGTACTTCCTGACCCGGAACAAATCCCTTCTCTTGGATTACCTATCCACATACGCCTCCTCTGGAACCACCACACTCATCACTCAGTTCCTTTATTCTCCTGTGTCTTCAGTCTTTCCATTGGCTTTTCACCACAGGTACAAACATCTTCAAGTCTCTCCCATTTTATAACATACAAACCAACCACCCACCAAACCAGCCAACGAACAAAAACAATCCCTCCTTACTGTTCTCCCCCTTTTCTGACCCTTTCACCTACCCTGTGGACTCCAGTGGGCACTTTGGAGTTCTTACGGAATTTGATGTCTTACTGTGTTTGTCAGTCTCTCCTCCTTTGGTTGCCTTGGACGCTGTTCTCACTTTGTCTTCTTAGTCTTCATTGACTTCTCTTCCTCTACTTTTTACCTTAAAGTCTTATTTTCTTATTTTGAAGTCTGTGCTCTTCCTTGACAAACTCACTTATATCTGTGATTTTAATTATGACTTGTGTGCTGATGATGCCTAAATCAAAGCACACAAATCTTTAGGAGAGAAGCGAAGTATAAACAAATGAACACAGCCCACCGCAGATGTGTGTCTCTGCAGACTTCTCTTGGGAGCTCTTGACTCAAATTCACTGCCTAAGACACCCCAACTCACCATGGCCTTTCCTGAATGTAGCTCTCTCTGAGTTGGCTGCTTTTCCCTCTGCATATAATAATGTATGTAACTTCTACCCTTACACATACCACATTTTACTAAAGTGATTAGTTTACTTTATTTGCCTCTCCAGTTGATGATGAAAACCTGAGAAATAGAATTATGTCTTTATTTCTGTATTCCTAATGCCTCCAACACGAGGCACATAGTAGTTATTCAGTTATCAATTATTGAACGAATAAATGGTGGGCAGATGGCTGCTTGCTGCTCTAGGTTGACATTCCATTATGTCTGTCAACCCAGTGAGAAACATCCTTCTTTCCCAGTACTTCAAGCATAAGTTCTGGGTGCATGTTTTTTGGAATGTCTCTGGACATGTGCCGACTGCTGAGTTAATCCCATGGCCAGGGAGATGCAAGACTATTACTGTCCAGGTCTAAATTTTGTGCCCATTCTTAGAGCAAGAGACAGAGCAAGTCTCACACATGACAACTAAACTGAGAGGGGGCAGGGAAGTTCATAAAAGGAAAATTGATAATTTATTACCAGAAGCCAGAGTGTAGGGTGCTGGCAGAAATGGCAGGTATTCATCATAAGTATGTGCAAAGCTCTTCAGTGGATACCCTCTTCAGTAATTGATTCCTCACCTAGTGTGAATTTTCCCCTTGCTGAACAGCTTGTCACACGGCATTGCCTTAGCTCAACATCTCGTTCAGGGATGGGCACT